CCCCCCCCCGTCAAGTCAGAAAAAACCTTCTAGAACCCAGAACTCTGCAGAACATGCTTACATGGTGACAATGTTGCGTTTTTCTGAGCTCCAGGATCTTGCATAAAACCATGATGGAATCCCCTTCTCCACATGGCTCAGAAGAGCGGGAAAGAACATTGAATACAAAATAAATAAATAAATAAATAAATGGCTGATTCTGAGCTCTTCATGCACATATAAAAAAATCACACACAAAATAGAAAAAGCATTTTGTCCTTTACAGACACCTGGCTCTTCAATTTTGTCACAAATGTTAATTTTCAAGAAGAGCAGCACGTTTTTTGGAGTGCAGTTGAATCCATGTCTAGAATGCAAACAAAGCAAAAATAAAACCCAGAAAACTGCTTTCAGAAAGGAAAAAATCGATTTTGAGGGCAGGATAAATTTTAAAGGGTCACTCATAGCCACAGTATAATCATATGAGCATCAAACCACAATAATTAAGGTTAGAATAGATTTGGTTTATGAATAGTGTTAACACACACAAGCCTAATCACAAAAGGATAGAAATTGTGTTTCATTTTTATTGATTTGGCGAAAAAGAATGTTTGTGGCTTTAACCGAATGTCTGTTTAAAAAGTTTAGATACAGAGGTATGTGCAGCCTAGGGGAGGTGGGGGTGGTTAGATTTGTGTCTGTGGAACCAAACACCTGAGAGAAATGAATTAAAGGAGGAAAGGTTTCTTTTGGTCATGACTTCAGAGATCTCACAGTCCCGTCAGCTGGCTTCATTGCCTTGGGCCTGTGCCGGTGATATCATGGTGGAAGGGCCTGGCTTTGCGGCACTGGAGCAGAGAGAGTAAGCGCCAGAGAGGAAGAGATCAGGACAAAATGCAGGCCCCAAGGCCACACTGCCTGGACCCAGTCTCTTCAACTAGATCCCATCTCCTAAATTTCCATTACATTTTAATAATGCCATCAAATTATGATTTCATCATAAAGTCCACTGGTAAAGTTATAGCCCTCATGAGCCAGTCACCTTCTGAAAGCCCCACCTCTGAATATGAGACTTTTGGTGACATTTTAGGTCTACATTGAAAAACCAGGAGAAAATAATGTACTTGGGAAGGGAAGGGTGAGGCAGGTGCTGCTGCTCTGCACAGCAGCAGGCCTAGGGGCTTTCCCGCAGTGTGGGCCCAGGAACCCTGCGGTCCTAGATCTGACTACTGTCTAGTGTGGCTTTTGGGTAGGGGAAAGGGCTTAATTTCCAAGGAGGATAAACTGCCACCTTCGCACCTGGGGAATGTGTGACCCTACTGACATAAAGTGTAAAAAATCAGGAGACTCCAGAAATCCGAGCTCAGTGGAGTGAAGAGGTGATCTGGGGTACCCAGGATGTCCGTGGAACCCCAGGCAACTGTCAGCATCCACAGCTGAAGGAAATACTGTGAGAGCAGGATGCCTTGTACTCTCCAATAACCGAAAGGCATCCTGTCTGTTCCCTGAAGCCAGGATACCTCCCACACTGCCTGCATCTGTCCGCTGCCTCAGCACTCCACGAAATTGGCCTGATCCTCTGCTGGCAGGCCTGTCTGATCTTCTATCAGTGTGCACCCTTCAGATGATACTAGAGCTGAACTCCTTTCCCTGTTTTCTCTTACTTTCCCATTAAAAACCTTTGCCTGTGATTTCATACTGCTGCTTGTTTTAATTTTCATTATCACTCTGACATTTCCAGTCTTCACATGTTCATTACTATGGGTAGCAATGTAATCACTTGACTTTTGCATCATCTTGCATTCTGTGACCTTAAGGAGGTCATTTGATTTGAAAGTTCATTGGGATTTTTCTATGTGGACAATCACATCATCTGGAAATAGCAGGTTTTATTTTTTCTATTACAACTTGTGTGACTTTTCTTTTTTTCCCCCCCTTTCAGCAGTGGCTAAAGCTTCCAACACTATGTTGACAGAGTAGTGGTGAGATGGACAGTGTTTCCTTATTCCCAGTCATCAACAAACACGTAAGAAAAAAGAAATTCACCAGGAGGCCAGGCTGACTCTGAGCATCACACCACAGCCTCTGGGACATGAATAGAGGAGGTGTGGTGAGCTCAGCACAGCCCACAGCTGTTTCTCTGCAGAGTTGCTATCAGCTAAAGTGACACTTTTTTTTAACTTTCTTTTTTAAAATAAATTTTATTTTTATGCTTTTTCCCTCCCCTCCCTATGTACAAAAGTTCTGTTTCCATTTTTCTTGTCACTTTCTCTCTCTCCCCTGTTCCCCTTCCCATTTGAACACTTTCCCATTTCCCACATCCATTATACATCTCAGTCCTTATTTACACATTCAGTTTCTCACACCAGAGAAACAATGCAGTATTTATACGTGTGTCCAATTTATTTCACTTAAGAGTATGATCTCAAGGTTCATCCATTTAGCTATACATGTTTGAAGCTCATCCTTCTTTATGGTAGAGTAGTATTCCATTGTAGTAAAAAAACTTCCGGTCTGTTCTTTTGCCAGTACCATGCTGTTTTTATCACAGTAGCTTTGTAATATAATTTCAGGTCAGGGATTGTGGTATCCCCTGCCTTGCCTTTTTTGCCCAGAATTGCCTTTGCTATTCTAGTTCTCTTCTGGTTCTAAATGAATTTTAGGATTGCTTTTTCTAGTTCTGTGAGATAATCTATTGGGATTTTGATGGGGACTGTATTGAATTTGTATAAAATTTTGGAAGTATGGCCATTTTCACTATATTGGTTCTTCCTATCCAAGAGCAAGGGCTATCTTTTCATTTTCTGATAGCCTCTTCAATCTCCCTTTTCAGAGTACTGTTGTTTTCAATGTAGAAGTCTTTTATGTCCTTTATTAGATTGATTCCTAGGTATTTGGATGCTATTGTGAAAGAGATTATTTCTCTAGTTTCTCTCTCCATGAGTTTGTTATTTGTGTACAAAATGGGTATTGTCTTTTGAGCATTGACTTTGTATTACACTACATCATGAATTTGGTTATCAAATCTATAGGTCTTTTGGTGGAGCTTTTGGGGTATTCTATGTAGAGTATTATGTCATTTGCAAATAATGATAATTTAATTCTCCCTTTCCTATCCTTCCTTTTATTTCTTTCTCTTGTCTAATTGCTCTGGCTAGAGTTTCCAGAACTATATTGAATTAAAAGTGATGACAGTAGACGTGCTAGTCTTATTCCTGGTTTTAGAGTGAAAACTTTCAATTTTTGCTTAAGAATATGATGTTGGCTGTTGGTTTGTCATAGATGGCTTTTATCAGATTGAGATAAAGACCATCTATACCAATTTTCTGTAAGGGTTTTTTAAAAATCACAAATGGGTGTTTAACCTTGTCAGATGCCTTTTCTGCATCTGTTAAGATGATATGGTTTTGTCTTTGGCTCTGTTAATATAGTGTATTACATTTATTGATTTGTATATGTTGAACCATCCCTGCATCCCTGGGATGAATTCAACTTGGTCATGGTATATAACCTTCTTGATGATTTGCTGCATTTTGTTTGCCAGTATCTTATTGATGGTTTTTGCATCTATGTCCATTAGGGAGATTTGCCTGTAATTCTCTTTTTTGGTTGGGCCCTTCTCTGGTTTTGGAATCAGGATAATGCTTGCTTCCAGGAATGAATTTGGGAGTACTGCTTTGCTTTCAACTTCATTGAAGAGTTTGAAGAGTAGTGGCATTGGGTCTTCTCTAAATTTCTTGTAGAATTCAGCAGTGAATCCATCAGGGCCAGGGCTTTTCTTTGTTGGTAGTTTTAAGATTACATATTTAATTTCATTGGCTGATATTGGTATATTTAGAATTTCTATATCTTCTTGATTCACTTTTGGTAATTCATACGTATCTAGGAATTTGTCCGTTTCTTTTGTATTTTCCATCTTATTAGAATGTAGGTATTGTATCATCAAAGTAGTTAGTGGTGATCTTCTGGATCTCTGCAGGGTCTGTTGTGATTTCTCCCTTTTCATTCCTAATTGCCCGGCTTTGAGTTTTTTCTTCCTTTTTTTTTTTTTTTTTTTTTTTATAAGATTGGCTAAGAGTTTGCCAATTTTATTTAATCCTTCAAAGAACCAAGTCAATTCTTTGATTCTTTGTATTGTTTTCTTAGTTTCCATTATATTCATTTCTGCTCTGATTTTTATAATTTCCTCCCTTGTATGAGGTTTGGGCTTGACTTGTTTTTCTTCTTCTAGAAGCTTGAAGTTCAACATTAGGTTGCTTATTTGAGCCCACTCTATTTTCCTGATATAAGAATTCATTGCTATAAATTTCCCTCATAGGAATGCTTTCATTGTATTCCATAAGTTGTATGTATGTTGTGTTATCATTATCATTTAATTGTAGAAATTGTTTATTTTTTTCTGCAACCCATTCATTGTTCAGGAGGGTGTTATTTAATTTTCATGTGTTTATGAAGTTCTTGTGGTTTTTTTTGCCATTGATTTCCAATTTCATTGCACTATGGACTGAAAATATACATGGGATTATTTCAATTACTTTTCATTTACTTAAGCATGTTCTATGAGCTGGTATATGTTCTATTTTGGAAAGTCCCATGTGCAGTTGAGAAGAACATGTATTCTGATGTTG